TACAAAAAGAGAAGTAGGTAGAGGGCACTCGAGCCTCTCAACTCCCTTTGTCTTACTGCTTAGGTTGGGCACAGCTGGTCTGCACACAACCATGGTCAAGGTTCAGCAACCTGCTCTGCACACCGAGAGTGTATTTATACGAGTTTATAATAACAGAAACTCTCTGCTACGGACTGAATGTTTTTGTACCTCCTTCCCTGCCCCCTATTTATGCATGAAAACCAAATGCCTGAAGTGATGGTATAAGGAGGTGGGCTGTTGGGAGGTGCTTAGGCCCTGAGGATGGAGCCCACAGGCTCTCACCAGGCAGCTGAAAGTCTCCTGGCACCTGGATCTTGGCTTGCCAGCCTCCTGAATTGTGAGCAATAAATTCCTGTTGTTTTTAAGCCACTCAATCTATGGTATTTTGTTACCTGAACAGACTAAGACACTGGTCACATGAATGGCTTTATTAGAAAGGGGAGCTTCTGCAGACAATGGTGGGTGTCAGCCTGTTATCCTCCCGAGGAAGCTCGGAACTGCTCCATGTGCTTTCTGCTAGGCTATCGACAGGAGGAAAGGGAAGCCTCTAGCTTTGCTTCTCACCTGACCACTCAGCTACAACAGCAAGTCACCCCCAGCCCTCCTGAGTACCATTACCTTATTATATTAGTTTTCCAAAGCACTCGCCAACCCCTAACATGGCATGTGATTTATTTATCTCTTATCTGCCTTCCCCACCAGCACGTAGGTTCCACAAGGCAGAGGCTTCCGACTCTATTTCTCATTGCTGTGTGTCCCCTGCAGTTTGCGTAGTGCCTGCCCTGCAGCAGTGAAGATCTGTTGTATGAATGACTACAGGGACCTTTGGAGGGGGCTGTTGGTGCGAATGAAATAACTAAAGAAGGAAAAATAAGCTTTCTGCATTGTTCCTCAAAACTATGAGCCTGGTTTTATTAGGAGGGAAATATTAGGATGGAAATATTAGAAAGGAGAAAAAGAATTCCTGTCAATTTGATAAACTTCTGTTTGTTTTACAGTAAAGACATACTAGAAAAACCAAAGCCTTGGATCAGGGCTGCCACATGAGGGAACTACAGACAATCAGGGAGCCTGCTGAGCCACTGAATATGCACAGGTCCTAAGAATCTGTGCAAATTCAACCTCCAGAATATGTCCAAATCTGCCCCCTGTCCTAATCTCCTGTCACTAGTCAACTCTTGTCCCAAGCACCATCACCCTTGGCTTGCACCTACTGCAGTAGCTTCCTAACTCATCTCTTTTCTGTCCATGCCTCCCTCCAAGCCACTCTCACATAGTAACCAGGGATTTTTTAAAACAATGTAAATAATTCATATCATTTTCTGCTTATAAAACTGCAATACATTCCCATTGTGTATTTTAGAATCCACCCACTATGCTCCAAACATTTTGACTTCTTCCTAATTCCTTAAACATGCATACTTATTTCCTGTTTAAAGTCCTTCACACAGCTCGTCCTTTACTGGGGCGCTTCCCTGCTCTCCACATCCCCACACCCTGCCAATCCGTGATCCATTTAGATTATTCTGTGAAATGTTTCTCAGTTTAGGTGTGTCTGATTAGATTCAAATTATGCTTCCTGGGGGCAAGAATACCACTAAAGTGGTGTGCATCCTCCTTAAAACATCAGAAGGCATATGATGACCTGCTTGCCCATCACTGGTGATGGTGGCTTTGGTCACTATCTTTTTCTTTTGTGATTAATTTTTTTCTTTTGTGATTAATACATTCTTATGAGAAGATACTTTGAGATCATGTAAATGTAATGACAGCCAACATTTAAAAATATTAGCCTACTCTACTCTGTGGTACAACTAATTCTCCATAAATAAAAATTTGGGGGAAATGTTCAAGGTCTGCTTAAGGGTCAGGGAATAGCTAGTCATGTAACTTTTCCTAGTGCAATGATCCATTAACATTCTACCTTTCCTCCTCCTCCTATGGATACAAGAAAGAAACCTAGGATGCTATTTTTAAAAGAGCATAATAAAATATCTCATCTCATTCCTTATCCATTGGATGAGAAAGCTGAGGTCCAGGCAGGCTAAGTGACTTGCCTAAGGTCAGACAGCTACTCAGCAGCAGACCTGAAAATAATTAAGTGTTCATTGTACGGCAAGAAAGGTGAAAGTCAATCTGTGCCCTTCGGATATACAAGCCCTACGGGCACACCTGAAGCCATCTAAGCAGGGTAGCTATGGCCATTTGGGGAAGGTAATGGGATTCTCAACCAATCCACAGAACAGGGCAGAACATCTTCCGTGGAGCCACTGCAGTTTCTAAGGAAGCAGAACAGCTCACTGCAGTGCCTGAGTTCTCTTTGTTCTTTTCTCTTCCTTTCTCTCTTTCTTCTCTCTTGGCAATACTCTGAAGTCATTCCAAAGGCAAAAATAAAGCCTCCCAGTCGTGGGAAAGAGCCTTGCCTTCAAGGGGCTCCTAACCTAGAAATGCTATGCTCCTTGCCCAATTCTCTGGACTTTACTGATGATCTGTTATCTATATTGATTTGATTATAAAATCAAAAGATGACCCCCTTTTATATGTTACTATGCATTTGTAGGAGGTAGTTCTGTCATAATCTTATCATATTTTATAAGCTTTAAAAATAATTATAAATCTGCCTAAGAACATTCTAACCTGGATGAATACAGAAGTGAGCAACCTCTTCTACAATGCCCGGGGACTTTCTTTTCCAAGGTGATTACACTACTTAAGAAAAAAAAAAAAGAAAAATATAGCTGGTTTTGGGAGCTGACACTCCGATCTTATCCTCTACCGAAAACACAGATTGGCCTGAGGCTTTAGCTTGCCTGCTCCGCTTCCTCCAAGGCCTTTAGAAGTAATAGAGATGTCACTGCCTTGTTCAATCCAGGATCCCAAGGTAATACTTCTTGGTAAAAGTTATTTTTAGATGGTATTTAGCAGCATACCCAAAGCTATAACCCAGAGGTAAGGACTATAAAGACATCCTGCACAATCTTTCTCTACAATTCAGGCAGCATTTCCTCCTTTATACTTTCTGAGAAGTACAACATGCCTAACAGAAGCAATGCTTTAATTAAGGATTAACCCTACATCAGGACATGGTATGAAATAAGGGATATTTAAAAAATCATAAAAGCAAAGATATAAATTGCTGAGTTAATATTGGTATTCAACTCTTGGAAATATAGGAAATCAGTATTCAAAATATCAGTAACTCCACTCTTAGAAATACAGGAGAATGTTTGCTGTGTTAGAAGAGGAGTTACTAGTAGAAGTAGAAATGACAGAAGTGGTGGACTCAGTTGTCGCTGACTTTTATATCCGGCACTGTGCTAAACTGTTTTATATGCAGCACCTAGTTTAATCCTCAAACTATCTTAGTGTTCTTCCCATTTGATCCAAAGTCAGCATAAAGTAAATAACATATTGGGATAATATAAATTTGATCTAAGATTATAAACCTGCTTCACGGCGACAATGAAATAATCTTGGAAGGCAGATTACTATGCAATTATTGCTGAGTGACTGACATACCAACTCCCTCACTTCTCTCTGGTCACTTTATGAATGAGATCTCGATCAGCCCATATAAAAATATCAGGCTCCCAACCCAGACTTGCCTGAGTCTCCTCACTAAAATATAAGCTCCTTTGGGCAGGGACTTGTCTTACTAACTGGTATATCCCCATACCCAGAACAGTGTCTTCTCTGTATTAGTTATTTAATGTCTATCTATTGAAGAAATGAAGAAATGAATAATTGATAAATAACACCAAACTCTAACAAAGGTTACATTTGAAATACTTTGCTTTTATTTCTCATTTACAAAAAGGTTCTCATAGAATGACTTGCCAGAGTCTCTTAAAAAGATTGGACATGGAATGTTTGAACTCACAACTCTATTTGTTGAAAAATTTCCCTGTAGCTCTTATAAATGTTGAAAATCATTCTGTTGGCTAACCAGAAGTCTTGTGCCTCCATTCCTAGGGGCTAAACAAGTTTGAGCATTTAACACTTTGTCAAACACTGAAGACAAATTTAAATCAGGCAACTGCATTCATCGTTGGACAATATTCTCTGAGCATCTACATGAGCCAAGCACAGAGGAAGTGCCTGGGAATAAGCACACAGTGAAGTCAGAGGGTCAATGGCCTTCTGCTCTTGTGGGACGTCTCCCTGATTGCCAAGGCTTCCTTGGCTCTCTACAACTAACTGAACAACTCAGAATTCAGTATACCTGTATGATATATGCTATATATCCATACAGAATTCAGTATGCTATGAATAAAGTGAACTCACTTTATTCATAGCATCTTTTATCACAATGTCCTCTTTACCTGGAGGAGATCTATCTACCTCCAGGAAGATTATATGACATTAAATGGTGAGGAGAAAAAAGTTTCTCACTTCAACTACACTGAAAACTATAACATGCTCTTGGTTTGTGTGCTAAACTTTTGGGATTAGTGGTGACACAGTGCTCATTCTGAAAGCAAGTTGTAATGTACACTTGTAAATACTGGTGTCAGGGGAAACATGCTTCAGCCATTTCAAAATTCTGAAAGTAATCACTGCAAGAGAATCATAAGCAGACGGATACTAGGCTAGATGATGGAGTCATGCACCAGGGCCTGCCTTGCTTCAATACTGTCACTCAAACAGCCTTATGACCAAAACACATTATCAGCTAAAGAGAGTTTGGCTAATAGAGAAGTCAGGGAAGAGCACAAAACTTGGATGTTAACATACTCTTTACAATTCTGATGGATTTCTGAATACAAACATGATTTTAATTTGGCATAAAGAACTATTCCTAGACATGTTCATAAACCTGTCAGTCCATCTGATTCTGCTTAGCTCCAGAAAAAAGTCATGGCTAAATGCATCGGCATATTAACTGGTTCTATTTCAAAGCTTGGAGTGACGATGTTTAAGGCTATAGTGCCTTCAATCCTTAAGGGACAACAAACCATGTTCTTAATTATGATACTCACAGCTGTGGCCTGCCCTGTTACCCCTCTGCCCGGCAGAGTGTTCTGGCTCCTTGTACGGGAACTGTAGAGTTGTATCCAGGGTTCTAAAGCCTTCTTTAAGAGAATGGTGCTTGTAGTACTCCACAAGTTCCTTTAGGAAAAAAGGATCAAAGATTACTTTTGATAAGGATAGTTTCATTCTCAAACACTTGACCTCCTTGACACATAAATATATACAATATAAGGTTTATCAATTTAATGCTAAATGTTCCAGACGTATATGGAAAAGTAAATGATAATCTCCCCCTACTGTCTGGAATGTGCATGACGCCCAACTAGTAACTGTCCTTGGTACTCAGGCCATTTATAACGGGAGTTACCTCCTGCTGTTACTCACGGATGGAGAACATCCTGTTCATCTTCAGTCAGATGTGATAAACAGAAACCATACTAACCTTAAGTTCAGAACAGTAATTATTGTTCTCACTTACGAAATACTTGCCTTTCTAGACAAAAATAAAGGGAACAGCTGTTTGCCGAATGTATAGCAATTTCTAGTTCCCTGCAGTTTCTTTCAACCTAGCAGAAAAATAAACTTGATCCTAATGTATTTTTCCATGGTAAACCAAAGTTGACAAACCACAAATGCTATTTGATACTGTTCCTGGCTTACAATGAAGTATGAGTGCCCCTCTCACAGCTCTGCTTATCATCTGGTACTTACAGAGGCCAATAATGTAATTATTTCCAATTTTCTTTTATACCTAATTTGTTCTAAATACATCTAAGCCTAACGTAACAACCACCCACCATCTTTCATATTAATATATCAGGAAATCTCTCTGAGATGCTAGTTTCACAGATTCTGCACAAAGCTGAATCCCTCTACTTTAAACAGAAATTGAGTAATAATTAATTCATAGTAGAAAAAATGTGCCCTCTCACAAAAATGTGGATATAAAGGTTCTTACAAACACCTGAAATAAGCATAAAAGCAAAATCACTTTTATCCTAATTATTCAGTGCTTTTATTACAGCACTATTGTTTAAAACAAACAGTATAAAAGCAATTCATTTCTTCTAAAAATCACTGTCATCAACTCAATACCTCCATTCAGTGGTTACATTTGGAGTTCCTGAAACCAATCAATCAAGCCAAAAATCACCCAACAGAAGAAAAAGAGAACCATCAATCCTTGATTTATTATTTATTACCAAACTCAGATGAGTTATGGAATGCCCTGCGTGGGGAGTTCCAGGGGGCCTCAAAGATTATGAAGATAAGGCTCCTGCCCTCCAGGAGTTCTCACCCTTGAAGAAAAGTGAGGGGTTGTGGGCATCCAAAGGCAAGAAAGAGAACTCCTTTTTTTGAGTTCATGGAAGTGGTTTGGCTTAAGTTGAAGAAGAGGTAAACTTTCAAACCCAGGAAGGAGAAAAGGATTATTTTAAGTAGAGCAGACAGGCTGGGAGCAGACATAAAGGTGATAAAGTAAAGGCCACACTCATGAATGAAAAGCAGCTTGGTTTGGCTACAGCACTGGATAAAGCAAATGGTGATTCTTCATCTCCCACATCTGTAAAATGGAGACAATAAACCATTTCACAGACTATACTAAAGAATGTATAAAGTGCCTAATATATATGAATAATTATAACAGCTACCATGACCCCATGTCCCAGGCCTTTTTTTATATAGTTTCTCGCAATTTTCACATAAGAAATAAGAGCTGAGCCTTGTCCTCACTAATGCTTAAGGCTCAATGAGATTAACTAAGTTGTGCAAGATAGTTGGTGTCTGTCTCCAAAGTGTGTGTTCTTAACTACACTATACTATAAGCAAATAGAACCTGGCAAATGTAAATACACAAAAGGGAGGCAAAAGGGAAAGAGCATCTGGTAAGTGTCCATGACACATCAAGAATTTTATTTTCTTATAACTAAGATGGTAGGGCTATACACACATTACATTATTAACTTAAAAAAAAAATTCTCCCATCTTTTCTTCCTTCCTTGGGCCCAGATTCATGGGTCCTTGATGTAACAAAGGAATTTGGAATCTGACCAACTTTTAAAAGGAAAAAAAAAATGTCAAAATACCAGATACACGTTTATATCCTCAAAATGACTTCAATGATCAGAACATGGCATTTGTATTATGGTGATTTTAATATGGTTTGCAAAGGCAAAACCTGGAATTAAATTCAACTTAGAGACCGATATTACTAATTATTATTATTGTTAAATAAAATGCAAGATTTGGTAAGGTCTCTGGAAGAACTGCACACATACATATTTTACTGCTTATGCAAATGATATCAGTTGTTCTCTTAATGTTACTATTTACACTGAGTAAAATGTGTTGTTTTAGCAAAAATATGAAAATAAATCTAAAAGTAATTATAAGCCAATATATTTGAACTTCAATGTAATTTTGTTACAAGCAATATGAATTTTTAGCATCACACTGAATTAGTATGAATTAAAGTTTATATGCAGTTGGCTAGAAATTACAGAATTATCACAAAAGGACTTGGTGATCATTTAATACCCACCCATCTCCAAATTTCATAGAAGGAAAAATGACTTGCACGTAGCTGGGTAAGCTACAAAACACTCATTGCTTCACTAAGCATGGAAGATATTTTTGTCCCATTTCCAGTCTTATCAGGGTAAATCTTCCTACACGTTTCTCACCGGGCAGAATTAAATACTGCCACTACGGGTCTTTTCCAAGTTGTGCCTTCACGCTTTCTGTATTTTAATCTAATCCACCCCTGCTTTAGCAGTCATTGACCTTCAGGTACTACAAGTAAATAAGAAGACTCTAAACAAAAGAAATCGCTAAGCTTTCCTTATCTCACACTGACACAGCAGTGTCAACAATCCAAGTCTCTGAAAAATAATGAGTGAGAGCCAGTCGTTCCAATTACCAAGGAAACAGGCAATGAAGATGATTTATAAACAGCATTTGGACATGGACTGTCTTGCATACATGAAAATTAGAACAAAATTAATGCCTTGTAATCTAGATCCAGAAATTTATTTAGAATTTGACTTTAATGACTAAGAAAAAAAAAAAAAGATTTGATTAACCAAGCTTTGAAACCTAAGGGGAAAAGGTTAGGTCATAACCATCTAAGGTCAGTCTTCTCTTTGAAAGTAGCTAATTTAAAACAAGTTCGGGTGTTTGCTTGCATTTCATATCCTATCCAAATCAGAATTTAATTCTAGATCCTAATAAGTTTCCTGGGTAGAAGAATATAGTTTTACCACCCATCACGGGAGGTTACTGAACTGTTCTTAAGAAACAACTCAAAGATTACTACATACTTACAATGGGAATTGTGTCATTGGATACCAACATGATGAAAGGCAGCTCCTTGAAGCTGGATAATCCTAACTTAGAGATTCCCCCATATTGCCAGAATGCAGTAAGAGGTGCCCATTAACTCTCTACTTCCTTCCAACAGGGCTGGTTACTGAATTAGCAACCATACCTTCTGATCAAGTATCCTTGCGGCATTTCCCAGTTTAGGCTTAAAGGACAGCACTATTGTGACAGTCTTGGTACAGACAGGTTTACTAATTTGAAAGCTTTTTTTAGAATAGTAGAGTCCTTTCAAATTCTGCAAAACACACAGTGATTCACATAGTAAAAACTGAATATAAATTTGCTCAACAGATGAGCAAAAACAAAGAGGAGGGGCAGTTCCAGACTAGAGTTCAACTGTCTCTTCAGCAATTTTTACAGTTATTGATTAAACCTGACAAAAGTATGTAACTACGACTGAGCTTTATGAGCTCCTTTCTTTCTTTTTACAGTTACATCGTTTTGCTGTTTTTTAGTTTCATTGTAGTTATGCTATTAATTTGTTATTGTCTCCCTTTAACCCATTGTGCTATGCATGTGCTTCTTTACAAAAGATCCCTAGACACGGAGGAAAAAACACAGGCATGTGTCTCTAGCAGTGACATTTCTGATATTTGATACATACCATGTAAGGGGAGCTTATTTTTTGCTCTGTAACAAACACATTTAATTTCCTTTCCAGAACATCATTGCAGAAACTTTCACTGCTCTCCGGTAAAAATTGTTTGATTTCTGGGTTTCAATAGCTGTACTATAATCAAAGCTTTATATGCAGATAGGAACTTGAAGATCTATGTCCCCTAGCCCAAGTCATGTGGTATTTACTGGCTTTTCCCATTTAACCTTAGCGACTGACAAACTTTCTTGAGGTGCACCCAGGTGACACAAAAGCTGAATCGATTGGCCCTTTCCAGAGACTATTTCTTTCATCCTCTGCTGGTCTCCTCTGATGGGAGTTCTTTTTGTTACTTTCAAAGTTGGCAAGGCCTGCAGTCATCTTTGGCCCTACAGCATTTTTTTTTTGAATCTCATATTAACTGTAAGACTGTGGAGTAGCCTCATTATCATCCACGGAAGTTCTGCAGGTGAAAGCTCAAGCTGATGTGTCTGGCAGCAGTGTGGAGGCCCCCTGTGCATGCTTTTATCATGTCTCAGATGGGGCTGTCATTCATTATTTGTGCATCCACTTGCCACCTCCCTCCTAGGTTTTCATTTTAGGAAGAACCTGCTCAGGTCCAGTTCTCTTTGTGCACAGCCTGTTTGTTCCAACAGCACATAAGTAACTTTCAGCAAGGATGGTGCCTGGATCTCAGTTACAAATTTGACAGGGTTTACGTTTTTCCAGGGCATGTTCCTGCTGCCCATCCTTAGCTTCTGAATTGGGACTGTGATATTTATGTCCAGAGAAGTTTGCTCACTGTTCTTTCAACTCAAGATGCTTCAATTTCTTTAAAACACTAATCTCTTTCTTGAAGCAGTGCTAAATTTTCAGACAAGGCTTTCAAGCTGGTCTACTTTGTAAGACTCTCTGATACTCAGTTTTAACTTTAATGTTAACATCTGCAAAGTGCTTTGAGATGTTCTCCGGAAGGATGCAATACATATCATTTGATTGATGGTTCAATCAATGAGTGGTCCTTCCCAATGTTACTCAAAGTACTTAGCAGAGCACTACAAATGCATTTTATGTCCTATATCCAAATTCTTCATTATCTCAAGAAACTCTCTCAAACTTGAGACAACTTTGAAGGAAATATGAACTTTTCCTTTACTGTCAGCAATACATATCTAATAACATATATGCATTGTTTATGTGGTTATATACATATACTTATATGCCAATAATTACTATTAAGTTGTGATTTTTTAAACTCTGAGAATTAATGAAACAATCTTTGTTCATTTGAAGTAGCTTGGTAAATTGTTCTATTGTAATTTAAATATAAAATTGCTATGAAATATCAACCATGGTATGGTTAAAAGGTTACCCTATTAATGTTTAATTGCCTAAGGTAATGAAGGAGAACAACAGCACAAATAATTTAAAATAGCAGAAAATACAAAAAGCTGTTCCATTTGACATTATATTGCATTTTATATGAAATAAACCTAAATAAACCTAGAGGTATTTTCATATTAAAACTTCTTATGTTATAATTTAAAATACCTTTTCCCTGCCTGAATGAGGAAATAGAGGCAGAAGAAGGAAGAGGAAGGAAGAAATGCATATTGAACCTTTTCTGTGTGTCATTCAAACATGAGGCGAAACACACAAAAAACTGAAAGGTGATTATACTAGCATTTGTCTATTGCTGAAAGAATCATAAATAGTATGGACTCTGAAGTAGTATCTAAAACTTGTAAACTTAGTTTACTATGAAAAATAGGACTAGGGTAACATAAAACATAATTGGAATTCTTAAAATTAGAATTTTGAGGATTCTGCTGCAAAATTACCAAAAACCTGTAAAATTATACTGACCTTTCTAATAAGAGAAAAATAAGGACCACAGATTGAAAAGAACTAATCAATGCTTACCATTAAACTTTTAAATTTTCTATTTTCTGCAATGTGAAAAAAGCCATCTCTTGTTAAAATCTTGATGTGCTTTGCTTCATTATTATGCCTGTGGGCAATGAATAACGTATGAATATAAATGTGTTTTTAATCAGCAGAAATCAATAATTACCAGAGGGTATGCCCCAACAACATTATCGGAATTAATTCTGAGGACAAAATATATACCTATGCCAATACACTGGTGACAGCTAATTAACGAAATATATTTACTAGATTGGTTGGAGATACAACCAATATTTGAATTGAGATAGGGGTTAGTTTGACCAATCGTTATGCTCAATTTATTTAGTAAGTACAGTTTAAAAATATACTAATTTATATTCTTAGAATTTACTAAAAACATACACATATCAAATCACCAAAATAAAACATTATGAAAGAAATCTAATATGCCAATTAACAGCCTATAACACTTAATACTGTTTTTTCTAACAGATATTTTCAAGTATTAATGAACTATCTGGATAGATGCATTATTTCTACAGCAATTAGAACCTGGTTTTCAACTTCAGTGTTATACATGTCAGATGGTCTAGGCAATTATGAAAACAGAAAATCTATTTCTGTAAAAGTAAGTACTTGTCCTACTTACTTAATGCTAATTGCATATTCTCCTGACTCTTTGGTCCTGTGCCTCACAAGGTAAGTACTATTTACCCTATTAATAAGTTCAGTCTCTGCCTGCAATCTTTCCATTGCTCCAGCATACCTGTAAGAAACGACACAGAAAATCTGGGTTATGTACTTCTAGGGGAACAGAAGCTAAAAATAAGTATCTGTCAGGATTTTAATTTAGTGGCAGATTTGGGCTGTTTTAATGTCTACTAACTAATTACATTGTCTCAAAAATTAATGCAGAAACAAAGTTCTTTACTACGTCCAAACACAAGTGGTCTACAAAGCCAACAACAGTAAAGTGTACAGTGCCTCAGATGCGGTAAGCACCAGTAGATATTTATCAAATAAATAAGGAGGAGAAGAGAAGAGTGAGAAGATACTGAGTTAGGAAGAGAGTTGTGGGGAGTTTAGGGGGAAGTAGGAAAAAGACTTGTAGGGAAGGAATGCCCTGTGTGAAACATACACACGTGTACGTACACACACACACTCTTCCAAAACCTCACCTTTCCTATGTACACTGTTAAATGAAATCTCCCTTGCACATCTTTTAAGGACAATCTCAGTGATAACTTAAACTCCTTTTAGATAAATATTTTTTGGATGTAAGATTAAAGTTTGTGGTCTATAATTTTGATAACCAATTTTCTTAAGAAACTGGTAATAGTAAAATTTATTTTCAAAAGCAGAATTCATTCTTCCTAAACTACGTTGGCCTTAATCATACCTAAATTCCACAACAATAATAATAAAAGGCCTAAATTCAATTATTCTGTGACCCTTCACATCAAATATAGGATTGGCATTTACTGGCAAAATATATCAGAGATTTTGGGCAACAAAAATGAAAGGAAAAATTTTTATGCTTAGATTGGTTCTCTTTCAAAGCTATTCATGAATTGATATTCCAGAAAATTCTGATTCTCATATAGACACATGTAACTCATATGAAGTTTCCATCAAATACAGACCAAGAGATATGGGCATTTTATGCAGATGGCACTTTGGGTTAAAAGCACAGTGTGATGACCTCTGAATTCTTAGTACCTAGTATGATCTCACACATTCTCCTCTCCAATATTATCTCTTAGAACCCCTTCTTCACTAGGCTCCAGTCTTCTCCAGGTCTAGGAATTCAAGCTCCTTTTGATCTTGAAGACTTCACATAGACTGAATCCTTGTCTGGAAAACACTTAACTCCTTACTCAACGTGCATTTCCTCACATCGTTCAGGTTTAGAGAGAGGTCTTTTCTGACCGTCCCATCTAAAGAATGTTGTCCTGCATCTCACACTCCCCACTTCACTGTTCTCTTTATACCATCCCTAATTTCCTGTCTGGCTATTACTACAATTACTACATAGTATATGCCTATCTATGTTTTAGTCAAAGTAACACATGAACATTAATTATTATCTAAAGGTCAATGCCTACTATAGTAATTTTAATGAAAAAGCAGCATTACCCCATCTTATCAGCATTCTGCTCAAGTCCCATTTCAAGCAGCTTACCTACTTTTTCTTATTCTACTTGTATATTTCTACATAGCATGATTAAAGTATAATTTCTTCATTTATCCATTTTAGATGTCAGGAAGGAAAAGCCTTGTTTTCCCACTCATGCTCTTTGCTTCACAGTGCGCCTCCTCACTCTTCTTTCTCGAACCTCTACAAAGCCAAGACATCATCTGGCCCAGTTTTGTCATGCTGTCATATCCAAGGAATATCTGACATCCAAAAAAAAAATTCCTCAAGTTTTTGTTTGCTCAAGCTTCTTTGTCTCGATCAGAAGTCCTTTCCAAATTCTCCAAGAAAATTATAAACCCCTCAAGAATACATTTTTCAACATCATGTACAGTTTTGTTCATTATTTTCTATAGAGAAAGTCATTTCTCCTGAGCCGCCTGCCCTCTTGGCCCAGTCAGCACTGCCTGCTCACTCAGCTTCCTGATCTACTGTAGTGCTGGGACATCCCTTTACTCCCATTTCCTGAATTCTGACTCTCCCTCTTTCTTGGTTTACCAGCTCATCCTTTGGCTTCCTATAAATGGATACATGGCATATAATAATCAGAAGGCCTTATGTCTACGAAAATATTCTTATTTTACTTAATAATACTTAATTCAGAATTTGACTAAAGGATATAGGTGAGAAATCTACTTTGCTTCTCAAATTTTAAGGCATTGTTCTATTGTCTTTAAATTTCCAATTACATTTCATTCTGATTTCTGGTTGTTTGTATGTGATCTAATGTTTTATTCTTCCTGGAAAGTTTTATATTCTTTGTTTACTCTGCATTGCAAAATTTCATGATGTTTGGGTTACTTGCTGTGACTTTTTTTTAGTTCAGTATTGTCCCAGCCTCTCAGTAGCATCTTTGATTTAGAACCATATATCCTTCTGTAAAAAATTTTTGTATCATATCTTTGATAATTGCTGCTCTCAATTATTAAATGATCTCTTTCTGGACTTCCTACTAATTGAATATTGTACTTCCTAGGTCAATTGTCTAATTTCTGTATCTTTTCTCCCATGTTATCTTTCTCTTTGATTTTCTGGAGGACTTTGTTCAACTCTATATTCCAACTCCTCTACTCAGTAATTAATTTAGAAGACCTCTTTCTTGCTGATTGCTCCTTTTATGAAAAATCTAGCTCACTTCCATGGATATATTGTTCTCTCTTAATTCTGAGAATATAAATGAAAGATTTTTAAAACAAAGTTTTGTTCTGCTCATTTTAGTGTTTGTATTTTCTTCAAGTTTCTTTTTCTCATTTATTTTATTTGTCCTCTAGTTCAAGTCTTTCTCAAATGTCTGGTTACTCTTTGTTTTCTGTTGATTTTTAAGAGGGAGGCATCCAAGAACACACTGGAAGCTCTGTCTGGGCGCCAGCGTAGGCTCGCTGGAAAGGAACCTGAACACTTGGAAATAACCTGATGGTGGGGCTGGAAAGCACCCAAATGTTAGGATTTTAGGTTTTTACTCTGAGTTTATTCAGTCTCTTTAGAGAAAAACCTTCCAAGCTCCTGTCTGGATGCAAGGATGTAAGGTCTGTGGGAGATCCAATCGTCAGAGGAATTGAGCTGTACAAAGGGACTGGGGGTCATCAGGCAGTTCACAGCGTTTCCTTAATCTGATCCCTGCTTTCAGCGCTGCACCTGCCCCAGTCCTTCACTGGGCTGCTCCTGCCACATCTAGGCCCTATATGGCTCAGTTTTTCCACATAATATGCCTTCTAACTCCAGTGTGTCCTTCTAGGGTAGGGAAAGGTACATCTCGTATTTGGAGAATGGGGTAGGGGCCTTGACATCTGTAGCCTGTTCTTCATGTGGCTTTTCAGACAGTTTCCCAGATGTAAGCCCCATTACTAACCCTTGCCTTCATGATATCCAAAAGTACAAATTGTTGAAGGTAATCATCTTGATTTTCCATTTTATTTCATGGCCTATGTAAGAGACAAAGTTTACTTTGTGGGAACAATTTGTTTTTAAATGTGAATGTAATGAATAGACAATACTGTTGGTGACATTCAACTTCTTAAAGACTTGAGAACCACATGTCATCATGCAGTGTGTTTTTCTCTCAACAGTTTTGTATTTCTTAAATCGAAGATTCCATTTTTCTGGCATAGTTATTTTGTTCCCTAGCAGAAGGCATTTCCCATGAAACTGCCTACTTAGTGTGAATAAACTGTCCAAATTGCCCAAGAAAAAAGAATTAATTTAAAAATTCTACTATGAAATGTATTTCTTTCTTTATTTTTTTCCTATTTTCCCTCATCTGACCATCTTGATCTCTTTGATCATTAGGAACAATGTTATTCTAACCTGTCATATTTTCAGTAGAATTTTACATATTAGCAAGGGTGCACTTTAAAATAAAAGGTTCAAAAGCTAATCTCCTGTGCCCTGCATGGTTCCCAGGTAACTTATCAGTTTATTTCAAAAAATCCATGCAGTTTGTAGCACTGAGTTTAGCTTCAAAATCATTATGCCTAGTTACATGAAACATAGAAAAAGAAAAGAGAAAAAAACTAATCATCACACTCATGATTTTACCAGTTCTTGATGTTTTTCAGTTTGATTCTCCATGTTATTAGCTGTCTTCTCCAAGTTTAATTCCTGTCAGGATTACAGTTTTAATTCCACAGAAACCAAGACCTCAAGTGTGTCTTAAACATGGTAAAAATGTAGCAAAGATTCCAAGTCCTATGTCCTATCACAAACCTGCCACAATTTCTTGAGCCAGCTCAGTGCTGAAGCCCTGAGAAGGGGCCCTGAGAAAGCTAATACTGACCACACAAGGCAGATGAGACCGACGCGGGGCAGCAAGAGGGCTGAGGAGGAGACCCCATACTTTGGACAACGATTCCTACAGCAACATAGCATTTTCCATGCTTTGATTGTGTAACAGAAAATAATCAGAATATTTTAAAAACACCAGACAACTCAGGTGCTATCTACCTTTGCAAACTGAACTAGTGCTGTATATTCCCAGAATATCTCACTTATATACACACCCTCATATCTCATTTTTATGCATATGCTTCAGTGGCAAGAAAATGAAAACAGATGCAGTCATTTTAAGGGGAGCCAAACACAGAATTCAGGGAAACAAATATAAATAAGTAAATATGCCCATGTTTTGTACTTTAGCAATGTACAGGTGACATAACTTAGAATCCTGGCTCTAACACTAACTAGCTACATGGCCTTAAGCTTTGTTTCCCTAGTTAAAGTAACAACCTTGCTGATAGAGATGTTGGAAAAAATGAAATAAAATGGGTAAGATACTAAGTACATAGTAAGTACTCAGTATATATTAGTTATTTTCATATGATGATCATAACTATTCTGGGTCCAAAATAGATTTTTCCCAGTTGAAAGCATCACTTCTCCTTAAACTCACCATATCTAAAAAATAATAATCTCTATCTGTTTTGCTTCTTTGTTTCTATTAGCAATAATGTTAGCCTCCAAATGGTAAGTGAGCTCCAGACAGACCTAAAACTTTAGACATGGATACATCTTACTTCTGCCCTATTACATGTTGTAAATTATACTTCTGGATCTACTATCCTTTCCTGTCTAATTTTTAGTTTCAGAGTATGGAATCATATCTTTTTATCTGCTTCATAAAATCTACTTTTCTAAAATACAAGATATTTGCTTATGTCCCATTTCTGTCTGTGGCTGTCAGAATTTACAGTTAAGCATGCACACATATACACACACACATACACACACCACTTTCCAATAACGATACAGAAAAGGTCAGCAATATATAAATTCATTATGATGCTTTGTTGCATCTGAAAACACTTTAAGCCAGGACAAATGGAAATGGAATGTGGTTTACTATCCCCACATTTAAGGCATCCTTAAAATAAGGGTTTGGTATTTCAACTTAGCTACATAAACATTTTTAGTACTTACCAGGGTTGGCAAGAATAATCTACTGGTTTGGGCACCTAGAATATAAAAAGGCGAAAATAGATTAAGTTTACTTAAGGGAAGCTTTTAAAAATCAATCATTAATTCAGTTCAGCTGACTCAGCTCTATAAAACCTCTAAGCAGCACGGTCCTGGAACTATCCATTGGCAATTTTATACAGAGTGAATCATAGTATATGTCAGATAAGTAGAAAATAATCCATTTCACTTCAATTCATTCTTTCATTCATTTTACTGCCACTGTACCTCCAAGGGGAGAGATAACAGGAAAAACATGAATTGGAAACTTTTGGTATTTATTATCAAGGCAGTTTAATCCTATCATAGAAAATTAAAATGAAAATGTTAGGAAAACCAGAGAGCACTCCGCTTTCCCAAGACATTATGAAAACAAGCAGAATAAGCAATATATACTGGCTTTACTAGACTCTTATTTTGTAACACAAATTCTAAACTCTGATTTACCAACTAGAAAACTTTCATTCATGAAAAAGTCATAAGAAATACTCATTTTTCCCTTCTCTCCTATGGAGCTTTGCAGAAGAGAAAAACATTGCATTTTTCTAGGCAAATAAAGAAAGAGAAATAAACCTTCTAGTTGCTGACTGCAACTAGAAAAGGAACAAAGTCAAGGAAGGTATACTCATATTCATAAAATAACAAGTAAAACACATACTATCCAGAGGGGGACAAAGTTTGTAAGTTCCTAAGAAAAGCTAGATATACAGTTTGTTTTGTGTTCAGAAATTTTTCATGAATCATCAGTCTCTGATGCATGCATTCTATGTACCCCCTAGCCTTTTTATATTGGGTGCTCAAAAATACTGTTACCCTCATTTGGTTCAGAGGTCTAGTCAATATCAATGTATCTTTAACTCAGTTTTCATAATGGACTGTAACTATTTTTGTCTTTCAGGTTAAGAGTTATTTTAAAAAATGATCTTTCTGGTCAGAACATCTCTAGAGATATTAATATTTAAATATTTTTATCCTATGGATCATAGTTTTGATTTTACGACCATGTAAAATGCTGACACATAGAAAATAAAATTGAAGGCAAATGACTCCCATTTAAATCCTGCAATTATTTTCTTACATCACTTTGTTTGCACAAATAAAAATCAACTTTCAATAGTTTCCCCTGTGAAAATATAGATATATAGCCTTTGGAAATATGATGGGAAAAATAGTGCCTCCTTCCATTTCCTTTTCTATATTCTTTAAATGTATACTTACTCCTAAACCAATCTCCCTCTCCCTGAGGAGAGAGAAGAACAGAGATGTAGAGGAGAGAGGAGGGAAAATAATTTCAACATATTGTGGCTGTGGGTTTCTTTGGCTGGGAAAAGACTACAGATCTACAGAAGTGAAAGGTGGCGTGAAATTCTAAAGCAGAACAGATACTCAAGGCTGTTTCGCACTGATGTGCCTCCTGGACACTTTTCAGTCTTCGATGGCATATTCTGATGTGCAAAGAGCCAGGACTGTCCTATCGGGCTATGATCCCCGTAACCAGAGTGGGATCCCATCCTTACTCCATTCATCACGGGCCCTTCCCACTACTTCCGTGCATACTCTGGGCCCTTGTGTGGGTACTTCATAGATGAGACTCTACATCATTTTCTTCTGAGTATCTCTCACCTTTGAGCATATACTCATCTTTGACCATTTTTCCCTAATGCCTTTTTCTGCCTTCCTCATAAGCAGTTCACACTGTTAAACTTCCACTATGGACATAGCATTTTAGAAAACATTGTATTGGGAATATAACACGCAAGAAAAATAATGCATATAAGATATATGCTTCCTGAAGTACATCTTATAAAAGTTGAATGGGACAATTAGAAGTGAACTTTCTGTATTTCGCTAGAAATGTCATTATTTCATCCTTATTGAGGAAAGATAGATTTCTAAGTTGACTGATTTTTCTTTACAAACTTTGAACATATTATTCTTACTCCCTCAAATATTGAAGTTTCATATTATAGAATTTCCATGTGGTTCTTTTTTATAGTTTATCTTTCTCTACTGAGATTTCCCATCCATGGTAGGGAACTGTTTTTCCTTCATGTCCTAGAGCACAGTTACAATACCTACTTTTAAAATCCTTTCCTGCTAACTCCATCATTTGGGACATCTAGGCGTTGTTCTCTCTTGGTAGTCTTTTCTTTTGGGTATGGTTCATGTTTCTCTGTTTCTTTGTATAATGACTAATTTTGGAGAGTATTGTGGACAATTTGAATTAAATGTTGTAGAGGCTCTGGATTCTGTTATACTGCTACAAAGGGTGCAGCATTTTTTTTAGAGGCAGGCAATTAATCTGGTTGAACTCCAACTGCAACTCTGCCTACCCCGGGTGAGAGGCAGCTAAATTTGCAGCTTAATTTTCTTAGCTTAAGCTAAGCTACTTGGAGTCTGCACCACTCAGCCAGAGACTGAAGCTAAATTTATACACAGAATATGAGGACCCCCCACCCCCGCAACTCTCTTTCTTTTCTAAGATTTCCTACATCCCTTTCCAGCTCCTGTTTGCTTCAAACTCCGTACTCAGCTTCTTCAAGCCAATAAGACTATGAGGTTTCTACCTGAATTTCAACTATCCTGCATGGGGCAGCCCAGTATCTGCTTTCAAGATAGTCATAAAAAACCAGAAGCTCACCTAGTATCTTTCCCTTTTTCTGAGTACCAATTTTAACCAATGCTGTCAGATAGCTTTTAAAAATTAGCATTTGTCAAATGGTATGTCTATTTTGAGCTTTTTGAGGAACCTCCATACTGCATTCTACAATGGTTGAACTAATTTACATTCCCACAGCAGTGTAGGAGGGTTCCCCTTTCTCCACAACCTCGCCAACATTTGTTGTTGTTTGTCTTTTCGATGATGGCGATCCTTACTGGTGTGAGGTGATATCTCATTGTGGTTTTAATTTGCATTTCTCTGATGACTAGCGATGTGGAGCATCTTTTCATGTGTCTGTTGGCCATCTGAATTTCTTCTTTGG